CATCACCTAGAGCCCTAGTACTCCTTCGGCCATGGCAAATTTAGGTGCTCAGCAAGGTCGCAATTACCGACCGGCCACCCCAGTATGGGCACGCATCGTCTTTTCAGCGTGATGCTGCCTACTCGGAGATTTTCGGGGCGAACCCCACGGGCCGTGCACAGACGATGACTTCTCAAACTCCTCCCTTCGCTCAGGACCGCTCCCGCACCACGTCTTCCCATACGGTGGGCGAAGCATATATGCATCCTCGAGCTGCTCCTCCGCCGGCGGCGTCACCGATTCGTCAGTCCTCCGACGGATATGGGTATCCCCCCCCAAATGGATATAATAACCATCACCCTCCTCCGCAACGGCAGCCAAATGGACCCTATCATCATTCTCAGCCGCCTCCTCAAAACCTTCCGCGCCCTTACCCGGGCCGTCCCCAGTATCCTCAGCCCCAGCGTCTGGATTCAAGGCCTGGTCCAATGCAACCACCTTATCCAAATAAAGTCCCCGTCAGGCCTCTTCCTCCCCCAGCACTTAACTCAGATCAGTACAGGTCTCGTTCCATGGCTAGAATGGGCGGCCCTCCCATGTATCATCAACCTCCTCCCCCGAGTAACTTTAACCATACCTCAGCAAACGCCTTTCGACAACAACCATACCACCACGCAGGCTCTATGACCCCACAAGGCCGAGTCGTTCCGGAACGGCGTGACAATGAACGCTCCATGTCCATGAGTTCGTATACTTCGAACTATGATCATGCCCGGACGATCAGTTCTGGACGGATTGTTCCAAGTAGGCGTCGATATTCTTGTATGGAGATGGAGCGGACTGAATCGTCACTCTCGGGTCAACCTATCTTAGAACAACCTATCCCCACCTCGATGGTTCCCGGGCCAGATCCGCACTCTAGATCAAGACGTCCGAGCGATACATCGATCAACTCTCGAACATTTTCCATGGCATCCACCGTCACCCCGGAACGAACGACTAGTGTACAACCGGGTAATGCCGTCATTCCTAAACCGGCGAGCCAACCGCATCCCCACCCCACATCATAGTCGTAGATCTCCTCTCGTCTATCCTGCTTTGCTTTCCCGCGTGGCTACAGTGTTTAGAGAAAGGATATCGGTTGGAGAACGACTTAAAAATGATCTAGCATATACTAACGCTTTTACCGGGGCTGAAGCGGTGGATTTGATATCTTACATTATTAAAACGTCTGACCGTACCCTGGCCTTGCTGCTTGGGCGTGCGTTGGACGCCCAGAAATTATTCCACGATGTCACCTATGACCATCGATTCAGAGACGCTCCAGGAGAGTTATACCAGTTTAAAGAAACATTAAGGGAAGAAGATCCGGTTTCCG